CCCCCCCCAGTCTCCAGCTCATTGTCTCTTGCCGCCCCGGCGGGCCGATCCGGCTCCCCGGGCCCGGGGCAGCTGGATAGCCCCCTGGCTATTTCACATTGGTTGGCATTCTGCGGCCCGGGAACGCGGACGCGCAGTTCCGGTGACGGGGTGTGATCTTCGAGGGGGGCACGTGCCCATATGCACAGGTGCGCTTAGATTGTGGACTTAGCACATCAGCAGCCCATGGACGACGTGTTATTTTGCGGCCAGGCCTCGGCAGAGGGGCAGACAGGCCGGCAAGCTCCCCCACCCGGGCATGACCTGCGTACGAGGGGAGCATTTCGGGCAGCCACTACAGGAAGGGGTCCTCGTGCGCTTGGGGGTGTTTTATTTGTCACCTTGCTCCCTGAAAAAGCAGCACACTCTTTCCCAATCACGGATGGCTCGGGGGGGGGGGGGGGGCAGTGATCCGGGAAGTCCGCGGGATGGCTGCCCCTTCCGTGGGATCAGCCACGAAAGCAGGTGGGTCTCGGGCGATATGCTGATGGGGGGGTCTGTGCGACCACGGTTGAGGGGAGATTCGGCTGAGCCTGAGCCAGAGCGGTGGAGCCCCGACAGAGGGTGGCAGAGGAGCGGAGGGGAGAGGGGGAGGGGTGGGCACGAGTCATTGGAACAAAACCCGGGGCCCTCGCGAGACTGAGGGACAGACGTGGGCGGCAAGAGTTGGGCAACGATAACGGGGGATGCCAAGGAGGTAAGTTCAAGAGCAGAGAGAACAGCAGAAAAGACGGGGGCCTGAGTAGATGGTCGGATGCTCGACGGTCTGGGGGGAGGGGAGCACCCCGGGGCACTGCCCATGTGTACGGGACCGGACGAGGGCGACACCACAAGACACCCACTCCTCAGGGAAAGGCTGGTTGCCAAACAAAACACCAAAAAGGAAAGCGTCTATTTACCACAAGAGAGGGGTATGGGGGGGGGGAGAAGGAGGGGGAGAGAGAGAGAGAGAAAGAAAGAAAGAAAGAGTGGGGAGGGGCGACAAAGAGGTGCACAAGGACAAAACAAACACCCGGGCCATGACAAGGCGCGGATACCGGGAGATCCACCCAAGCCCGGGGCTGATGACAGCTCAGCCATGGCCACGAGTGTAGGCCCCCGGCCAGGCAGGCTCGTCAGCCGGGCCCAACATCAACGCCCCGCCGGCGGCCTGCAATGTGGCAGTCACCTGGGCCAGGTCCAGATCCAAATAATTGACCACAAAGCGCCCGATGTCGGTGTTCTCACGGCTGCCGGCCAGACTGGCCACGATGGCGGCATTGGCCCCGGCATCAGCCCCACCATACGCATAGAGATTGACATCGACCCCGGTGTGGCCATGCGTGGTCCAGCCAATGACCGCCCGGTGGGAAATCACATTCCCCAGGGCTTGGAGCATGGCATCCGTGTGGGTGGTCCGGCTGAAGAAGGCCAGCTCGGCGATGGCAGTCACCTCGGCCGGGGTGAGATCCGTCACGCGGAACGCCTGGCCCAGGGTGGCAACCACATGGGCCTCCATGGCCTCCTGGGTCGGGGAGTTGGCCCGCTCGAAGGTGAACAGCTCGGCCGCCACAAAGTCGGTCGACCGCTGCACCGCGGCCAGCACCCCGGGATGCCAGAGATAGGACTTGGGGCTGGCTCCCACCTCGGCCCCGGCCGTCAGGCCGCCGGTTTCGTGGTCCGACACCGAGATGAGCACCGTGCCGGGATGCTCATCGACAAAGGCCCGCGCCCGGTCCACCGCGCGATTGTACATGAGAATGTCATGCACATGGGCCCCCGGGTCCTGGTCATGCGCGGCCAGGTCAATCTTCGACCCCTCCACCATCAGGAAGAAGGGGGTCCCGGTTTGGCGAAGCTCCCGGCCGAGGGATTCCAAAGCGAAGTCCGTCATCTCCAGCAGCGAGGGCTGGTCCGTGGTCGGCCGGTCCAGCTCATAGGCCAAGTGCGTGTCGGAAAAGAGCCCCAGCACCGGGAAAGCGGGCTGGGCGGCCGGGTCAGAGGGGAGCAATGCCGCCAGCTGGTTGGCCGTACGGACGACCGTGGCCCCGAAGCGCTGCTCCGCCTCGGCCATCAGGTCCCGCTCGTCGGACCGCCGGGACCCCCGGACGGACTTCGGCATGAAGTGGCGCCGGCCACCACCGAGCACCAGGTCCGGCATGAAGTCCAGCGGCGTGGCGCCGGCCACTTGCTGCTCGGCGATCTGGTTCTCCGACGATCGGCTGGCCACATGGGCGCTGAAGGCCGCCGGGGTGGCGTGCGTCACGCGCGACGTGGCCACCAGCCCGGTCCGCAGGCCGGCCACGGCCGCCGCTTCGAGAATCGTCCCGCAAGGGAGCCGGTCGTCTGGGGTCACGGCGATGGCCCCGTTGTAGGTCTTGGCCGCGCAGGAAAAGGCCGTGGCCCCGGCCGCCGAATCGGTCACCAGCGACGAAGAGGACCGCGTCCGTGCCGTACCCACCAGCATCCGATCCAGCGGCAGGGTGAAGTCTTCCGGAAGGACCAGCAGGGGCTCGGCCCCGGCGGCATCGGCGCCCATGGCCACATTCCCGGCGGCGGCCTGCTGCATGTGATAGGCCACATACCGGGCCACCGTCATCGAGGCCGGGCCGCTGCCATCCGACACCATGAGGATCACCGAGCGCGGCGGGGGCGTCGAGCTGGAGGATGCATCTCCCGGCCCGGGGGAGGACCCGGGGGAGGAGTCGCCCGACCCGGGGGAGGACCCGGGGGAGGAGTCGCCCGACCCGGGGGAAGAGTCGCTCGGCCCGGGGGAGGAGTCACTCGGATCCGGCAGCGGGGCCTCGGACCCGGACCGTTGGGTGGCCACAACAGCTGCGGCCACCGCCCCGGCCACGAGGGCCCCCAGGAGGAGCCCCACCAGGACAAAGACCCACCAGGGGCGCGGCCGGCCCGGCTTGCCAGCCGGATCTTCCGGGAGGATGGGGCTCGGGTCGCCGACACCGGCTCCACCAATCTCCGGATCATTCCGTGGACTGAGCTCCATCCTGTCTGAGAGTAGAAAGGGGGGGGATGACGGAAGATGCTCCGAGCTTCCCCAGAGGTATAGACACACACAGACACACGGGGAGTGGAAGGGACCACGCAGAGCAGGAGCACCAGAGGGGGGGGGGAAGAAAGGTGGAGGAGGAAGAGAGGTGGGGGAGGAAGAAAGGCGAGGGAGGAAGCACGGGGAGGTGAATGAAGGAAGGGAAACCCGATGCCGTATACCCCCTGATCGAGCTTGTCGCGAGGAGGGCCGATCTGCTTTAATATCCCCACGCCACGATGGTCTAGGGTCCGCGCGTGCCCGGGCTTCTGCCCCCCCCCCCCATGAGGATCCGGCAGAAGGGGGGCGTGGCGAATGGGGGGAGGCCGGGGCACAGGGGCTGCTGGGTATGCGGCCCTTTGCCCCCTCTCCCAGGGGGAGGGCTGGGCCATCTAGCGCAACTGCCACCGCGGCCGCGTGAGGCAGCCCAGCCAGCAAACGACCCGGGAGAGAATGCCCGGCGACCGTGGAGACACCCAGCCGGCCGTGCATTTTCCCTCGGCATGGTTCGGAAATGGCACCGGGGGATCGCAAGGGGGAAAAAATCCCCCCTGCCAGATGGCCATGGCACGCACATACCGGCCGGCAGATGAACGTGCGCACGCCGGAAGGCCTGCCACCACACCCGGACGGCCTTCGGAACGGGGACGCCTTCTGTCACCCACGCAGGGGTACACCCGGAGGGGGGGGCAGACTGTTCGGTGGAAGTGCCCAGCATCTGGGCGTGGGAGCGCCGGCGCGCCTGGGCCCCCTTCGCCCGAGGGAAAAAACCCGAAGCCGAGTTAATCCAATAATAGGAGGATTAATATTGGCCATTTGTCCTGATCCAAAGCCATGGCACAAAAGCCCGCTGGCCACGGGGATCAATCACACGAACCTGGCGGAGCGTTGGCGGTCCAGCTTCCAACGCGACCCGGCTGCCGACGGGCACCCACGCGACGGGGGCAATTGCCGAGGCAGGGCGGGAGGGACGGCCTCCGGCGGCATCACCAAAAGATTGGGCCGCGGCGGGCCCCCGCTGGCCGCAGGCCAAGCACCCCCCCCCCCCACACGCCCCCGCGCGCCAGCCCTTCTCCCTCCCTAGATTGCCTAGTTCCCTCGGCCCTTGCCTCCGCCTCCCCCCTTGGCTTCTGTGTTTCCTACCTGCCTTCTTTCCTTCTCTCTCTCTCTCTCTCTCTCCCTCCCTCCTGCGGCACGCCCTTTGCTGCCTCGCTTTTCTACTTCCCCCCTGCCGTGCCACGTGCTCGCCGCGCCGATGTCAATGCCGTCGCTCGAGTTTCTGGCCATCGGTGCCGCCCGGTCACCGGGGGCTCTCTGGTCCGGCCACTCGATTTGGACCTACGGCTGCCACAATTCCGTGGCCATCTGCCTGCCGGATGTACGCCTCGTCTCTTTGGGCTGCTGCGCCGGGCGCATGTCATTGGGCACGATCTGTTCGGATCTCCACTGACCTCTCTCTCTCTCTCTCTCTCTCTCTCTCTCTCTCTCTCTCGCCACTGACACCCTTCGGATTTCCCCCCCCCCTCTCTCCGTCTTTCTCTGTCTCCCCCCCTCCCCCTGCCGGGGCGATGTCACGGTCCAACAGGACCCTCCGCACAATCGCGCGGTCGCCACGCTGGTTGGGCATCAGGGCGTCGTGACCGGGGTGGCCGGCATCACCGTGGCCGGCCTCGATCGGGCGCTGGTTTCCGGCGGCCAGGATGGGCTCCTGTGTGTCTGGGTGCCGGCTGATTGGCAGGCAGCCCGGCTGGTCGGCCTGCCGGATCCCCGCGGCGCCTGGCGCCTGGTGGCCACCATTCGCACCGCCTCCGCGGTGTTGGCACTTTCTTGCCTGGACTTGGGCCCCTCGACCGGGGACGAGATCACCACACCACCGGCCAGCCTCGACCCCGGGGCCGGGCCCTTTGCGGCGCATGCCGCCATCAACCGGGAGTATGCCGGGCCGCGGGATCTGCTTGTGGCGGCCGCCGGGGCCGATGGCGAGCTGACCCTGCATGAGGTCCACGTGCCGGGGTTCTTTTCCGAAGCGTCGGCCATGTGTCGCGAGGTGGCCATGCCGGCGCTTGGCCGCGGTCCGGCCCATTCCCTGGCCATGTCCCGGCTCCCGACCGCCTCGTCCCCCGGCCGTGGGGATATCCTGCTGGCCGCCGGTCTGTCCGATGCTACGATCGGCCTGTGGACCATCTGCCTGCCGGCCTTCGAGGTGCGTCCCTCTGGTGGCCGGTCTGCCGTGCCATCGCCCGCACCTCCCCTAATTCGCTGCACACTAATCGCGTCCCCCCCTACCTACCTACCTACCTACCTACCCCCCCCCCCCCGCTGCCCTCGTTCTCGCCGGTGGCCATGTGTCTAGGCCGCCCGGGTGGCCACCATCGACGGCCACACTGATTGGGTTGGCGGGCTCTCCTTCTGCCACAGTCCGGCAGTCGACACGGCCGGCGCGCCATCCCTGTGGCTGGCGTCGGCATCATTCGACCACTCGATCCGTCTGTGGAGTGTGCAGCTGAAGTCCCTCAGCCCGGAGGTCGGTACCTCGGCCGGTGACGGCGAGAATGTGGCCGACTCCATGGAGACCATCCAGTCACGCATGTACGTACCGGCGCACACTCTACTCCTGTTGTATCTCTCTCTCCCCCCCCCCCTCTCTCTCTCTTGCGCGAAAGCGCCTTCCTGGACACTGTCACACACACGCCTGACATCCTGCCCATCCCCGACTCCTCCTTCCTCGCTCCCCATGCCCATCTCCCTCCCCCCCCCCCCTCTCTCTCTCTCTCTCTCGCCCGATCGGACATAGCCGCGCCCTGATGGACAAGCATGAGACATGCGCTTTCGATTTGCCGGCACTCGTGTTGTCCAAGGCGGACGACGGCCCCGGCCCTGGGCGGGCCACCTACTCGGTGGCCTTCGAGGCACTGCTCCTCGGTCATGAGGACCCCGTGCATACGGTTTGCTGGGAGCCCACCGGCCAGACGGAGGACCTGGCCATTGGGCGCCCCCGGGGGCCACTCGGGGCCGAGGCCGCCCGGCCGGTGCCCCCAGCCCGCGGGCTGCTCACCTGCTCGATGGACCGGACGGTGCGCGTGTGGCGCGGGGTGTCCGCCTCGGCCGGGCGCCTTGCTGATGACCTCCTCTGGCTGGAGCAGGCCTGTCTCGGGGAGTCCGGCTCGACGGACCACAACCGCGGCTTCACCGCGGCCGCTTGGCTGGTCGGCGGTCCGCACGCACAGGCCATCGCCATCGGGCACAATGGCAACCTCCGGTCGTGGTACCGGCTGGCGGCTGAGGACCTGGAAGCCGAGGGGGCCGACCCGGCCCATGCTGGGCTGCTGCCCGAGTGCTGGGCCTCGCAGCCCGTGTGCAGTGGTCATACCGGCCCGGCGACCGATTGCGCGTGGGATCCCCACCGATCGCACGGGGCCGGCCCCGGGCGGTACTTACTCACGGCCGGGGAGGACCACACGGCCCGGGTGTTCGGCCGGTGGCGCCCAGACCCGGATGTCCCGGCCGCCACGGAGCCGGGCCACTACTATGAATTGTGCCGGCCTCAGCTGCATGGTCACCCCTTGGCGGCGATCGCCTTCGGCCAGCAGGCACATACGTATGCATGTGCCGCGGCCGGGGAGAAGGCCGCGCGCATCATGGCCGCCCCGCCGCGCCTGCGCGCCTCCATGTCCCTGATCACCGGGCATGCGCTCATGGCCCCGGAGGACCTGGCCGCCGTGGAGTTCTCCGCGGCCGCCGATGTCCAGGTCGAGGCGCTGGGCCTGTCCAACCGCATGACCGCCGCCTCAAACCGCCCGGCTGACCATGTGGCGGAATCGACCGCTGATGAGGGTGCGCCCAGCCGCCCCGGCCTTCCTCTCATGGTTTTCCCTCCTGCCCTCTCTTTTCCTTTCTCTCTCTCTCTCCCTCCCTCGCCCTCTCTCTCTCTCTCTCTCTCTCTCTCTTGTTCCTCTCCTTTCTTCTGTGCCTCTTCCATCCTTCCCTCTCGTGGTATCTGACGCACCCGCTCCCCTCCCTTGGTCGATCCAATGCCGGTTTCATCGATCACCTGCCTGGCTCACTCGTCCTGTGTCTCCCTTTCGCCCGGCCCCCTCCCCGGCGGCAGATGCTCGCGCCGAGTGGGCCATCCCCCCGACTGAGGACTGTCTGATCCTCGGAACCCTGTGGGTGGAGGAGCATAAGCTGTATGGGCATCCCTTCGAGCTGAACACCATTGCCTCCAGCGCGGATGCCGACCTCCCGGATGAGGACCAGGCCCCGGGGCAGCCGACGCCCGGTCTGCCGGCGCTGCTGGCCACCGCGGCCCAAGCTTCCTCCGGGCGTGACGCCGGCATCCGGCTTTGGTCGATGACCTCGTGGCGGCCGATTCCGCTGCGGTACCAAGCGACCCCAGGCGCGGTGGATGTTGCCGGCGCAGTGTCGCTGCCAGTGCACGGGCTGACCGTGACACAGATGGCCTTTGCCCCGGCCGGGCCTGCTGGGTCCGGGGCCGGGCCGCGTCTGCTGCTGTCGGTGTCGCGCGATCGTGGCATTGCCCTGCATTCGCTTTGGCCCGATGAGGGGCCCGCCGGCCCGGGCGAGTCTGTGCCGGACTCCGAGCCGGCCATTCGCGCGGTGCTGGAGGCCCATCTGCCCGAGGCGCACCGGCGCATGATTTGGGCTTGTGCCTGGCTCCCGCTGACGGCCGGCCCCGGGTCCCTGCCGGCGGGATTCGTGACCGCCTCACGAGATGGCGTTCTCCGGGTCTTCCGCCTGGAGGATACCGGGGCTGACAGCCGGGCCGGGCCGGCCGCGCGATTCCTCGTCCACCCGACGGACCAGGTGAAGTTCGCCGTGAGCCCGCTCTCGGCGCTGGCCGTGTGCCCGACCCCGGGTCCCGAGCGCCGTTGGCGCATCGCCCTCGGGCACCAGTCCGGCCGGGTGGCTCTGGTTCATCTGCAAGCTGACAGCCTGCGTGTGGTTCCCGACGAGCCGGCCACCCTCCCCGGCCATCTGTGCCCGGGAGACGCCGTGGCCAAGCTGGCCTGGCGGCCGCCGGTTCCCGGGTCCAAGGGTCTGGGCCTTCCGGCCGACGAGCTTGCCTGCGTGGCGGCCGATGGCTCGGTGCGCGTTTTCGCCTTCTGATGTGCTCCGCCCAGAGGGAGGAGTTGCATCCGGGGAAGATGAAAAAAATAAATATACCACAACATCCTTCCCACACAAGCATATATATATGTATATACACACACACACACACACAGCAGGACCTCCCTGATGGCGTCCCGTGCATCCCCCCCCCCCCAGGGACGAGATCCCCTTGGAAGGACCGTTGTCCGTCTCGTGCACCCACGTTCATGGAGTATCCACGCCCGGGCGGCTCTTTGATCGTTTTGTCACGCGTGCCAAATGCGCACTCTGCCACGCTCTGTCACGTACGAAGGGTTGATCGTGTTTACGCCCAATCTCTTCCATGCACATCCGCTTGTACGGCTCCCCGCCAAGATTAAGCAGGAGTGTTTCACCGGCATGCCCTTCCACCTGGCCCTTTCTCCCCCGCGCCCGGCTCTCGGTCGTCATGTGAAAAAAGCCAGAGTGTATTGCTCCGGCCCCCAGGAGATGGCCCGGTCGGCTGGCATCAGTCCTCCTTCGGCCGGATGGCCACGGGGCACTGGGCTGGCGCCCGGCCAGTCAGGACTCCGGCACCGGAAAAGAGAACGGCCACCGCACTGAGGAGGCCAACCGGCGCCAGGGTCATGCCGGTCCACCAGAGGGCCGACGACCCGCCGATGTGGGCCGCCGTGCGCAGCCGCCCAGCCGTCTGCCCGGCCATGGAAAGCAGATCACCCACGAGACCAGACCAATCAAGGGGAGCCGCCGTCGAGGAGCTGGCACCAGTCAGAGCCTGGCCAATGCGGGTCAGCAATCCGGCAAGGTGTGCCGGTGGCGTCTTGGCCCCGGCTCCGGATCCGGTGCTGCCCAGGTCCAGGAGGGCCAGCAGAGCAAAAGATGCCCCGGGAGAGGCCACGACGGTGACGACGAGGCCGGCCGCCAGAAGGAGGATACCGCGCAGGGCCCCCGCCCCGGGGGCTGCCAAGACCTGAAGCGCCCACTGGGCGGCGAGGCCCGTTCCGGCGGCCAGAACCCCAAGCGTCAGTGCCAGCGACACATTGGCCGTTGCACAGAGAGAGGCCAGGGCCACGGCGCTGAGGCTGGCCCCAAGGAAGGCGAGCAGGCTGCCCTTCTGGAAGACGAAGCGGGCGCGGTGCCTGTGCGCGTGTGTGCGTGCGTGCGTGCGTGCGTATGTGTGTGTGTGTGTGTGTGTGTGTGTGTGTGTGTGTGTGAGTGTGTGTATGTGTGTCGGTGCGGGTGCGAATGCACATGCCGAGGTAGCGTGTGGGCGCAACACCATCGAGTAAGTGTGTGCACAGCGTGCGGCAGGCAAGGGAACAAGAGAGGAGCGCACTCTGTGCAACAGGTTGGCGCGGTCAGGCACAGTGCTGCCACCAGCGAGAGGAGACATCCGGCAAAGATAGCTGACATCACGATCAGAGTCCGCTGTGTATATATAAATATGGAATCGTGCGTGAGTGCAAGTGGGTGGATGTATGGTTAGGACGTGACGATGGGGCACACGGAGCCAGCAACTTGGCGAGCATGCGCAAACATGGGCACAGCGAACAACAGCCAGCAGTGTCGGAGCACATACGTCAAGGCTGGCGCCCGGACCGGCCGGCGCCGCGTCCAGCACATAGCCTCCCAGGGCCAGGTAGGCCAGCAGGGCCAACAGGCCCAGGAAGACCGGCGACGCGACGCTCGAGGAACGAGCAGGACCCGAGCCCTTTCCACCGGGCCCGGTCGAGGCGCGGACCCAGAACACGATGGATCCCAGCACCAGGGGGAGGATGGCTGCCGCGGCCACCAGACCGGTGGCATTGGCGATGGAGGTGAAGTGCAGCGGACCGAGGAGCCAGTACACGAAGAAAGATTGGTGGTACTTCTCCAGGAGGTTGTTCACAGTGTAGAGGAGCTGCTCGACGGTTCTGAGAGGTGGGGATGATCGGATGGATGTCCGGCCCGAGGGGGCCCGAGGCTGGTCAGCAACAGAGAGACCAGTGAAAAGAGGGGGGCGGGGGGAGAGGCGGGGCGGAGAGCGCGGGGGAAACATACCGGCCAGCCCGGTTGAGGGCCGCCGCGCCGCGGTAGGACGACGACTGGACATTCAGGGTGGTGTACTGGGCCGAGCGGCCGACGAAGCGAATGGTCAGCGCCTCGACGCCGGCCTGGAGGAAGTGCACATGGGGCGGCACCGCGGCGGCCGGCAGCCCCGGATGCTGGGTCATTGCCGCCGGCGGCACAATGTCCACCACGCCGTTGAGCAGCGACAGCCGGCCGATGTTGGCCGCCATGGCGGCAAAGCGGCCCACCTGGTGGGACACCACATCGGCATGGACCCCCCCGGAGGAGCGCCCGCTGCCGAGCAGGTCGTTGAGCAGGGGGAGCGCCGTGTTCAGGGTATGCGCCAGGAGGGTGGCCGGGCAGGTCTCGATCGAGGCGCAGGGCGACCCGGACCCCGAGGCGGGCGGCGGGCGAATGGGCAGGCTACTGGCATTGCACAGAAGCGGGGCCGACGGCTGGAAGGTGCACAGGGACTCCGGCCCGGACACGCGCACCAGGCTGTTGTAGAGATCCAAATTGGGCAGCCTGCCGTCGATGCCCTCTGCGACGGGGTGGCGAGCAAGGGATGCCGGGGGGAGAGGGGGCGGGGGGGGGGGGGGGGGAAGACAAGAGAGGGCATGAGAGGCAGGAGGGCGGCTTGTTGTGTGGGAAGGCGAGGCGGAGATGGCCAAAGGAGGTGACGGGCGAGCGAAACGCACCAACCAGTCCCACCAGCCCGGAGAAGGTGCCGGAGTCGAGCATTTCCACGCCGATGGCCGCTTGCAGGACGCTGATCGGCGGCCGGTAGTTGTCGGTCTGCGGCTGGCCGACACCGCCGGGCGCGCTCGCACTTCCGGAGGAGAGGCCCTCGCCGCGGTAGATGTCCTGGATCCAGTACTTCATGGCCACCGGCGACGGGTCGGCGATGATCAGCACCAAGTCCTTGGCCCAAAAGGCAAGCCCTGAGCCGAGGGGGAAGCCGAAGGGGAGGGGGAGCAAGACAAGTTAGGCACCGGTGCGGGAGAGGGCGAGCCAGGGGGATTGGAGATGCGCAAAGAGGCGAGAGGCAAGGCTCGAGCGCGTACCATGAATGCGCTCCATCAGCGAGATGACCAGAGCAATGGACTGTGTATTGTCTGGCTCGCCGGAGGTCGGTCGGCAGGGAGGCACGACGCGGGCAGGGACGGATCAGTGGCCGAAGCCCCGGGGGGATGGGGGGGGGG